GGACATGATAACCATACCTGTGAGATGGTGTTATTGTGATGGTTGTCAGCTGGTGAAACATTTTAAATAGTGCCCTGCATCTTAGAAGATACTACGTACACGGTGCCTTTACTACTATCAGTGTTTGCTATCAGGAAATTGATACCCACTGGGATGGCCAATGAAGACAATAACAGGAACCAGGCCAGCCTCTGTTGCGGCCCTGACCACTGCTCTGTGTGATGCTGCAGCTGTCAGTTCAATTTCGTCTTCTCCCAGGTCAGCCATTGTAGAGAGCCTGAGAAAATTATCCCTTCTCCCCACCATCTAATCTGAAGACTCCATCTTCAGTAAGCAGAGAGCTTAAGGGCAGAACCATTTCTGCAGAGCCGGCAAGCCCTTATCTCCATCCTGCTTCTCAAAGACCCAAAGGCAGTACTGGTTCTCTTCACTCAGTTCTATGCACCATTCTCAGTCCTGTCTGACTCACTCTCAGTGCAGCATGGCTCAGCCACGCTCGCTGGCACGACCCCTGTAATCACTTCTTTATTTCCTTTCTTAGCCACTTCCTGTGTTAACTGTTTTCCCAACAGAGAACAGAGGTTGCTAAGGTTCAAATGCTGGTTATGTCTACTCTGAGCCTCAGTCTGCTGTCAATTGGTATAAATTGTGTGCCTATCCCACGGAATGAAACATCACCTGCCAAAACTGCAGGTAAATCAGTGCCCATCTCACAGGTGGAAAGCTAACAAATGTTGGCTCCTTTTATTATTTCCTTTCTTCTGTCCTCAAACTCACCTATGTGTTTGTAAAACAAGAACGCCTTAATTTTGATGCCAATAGGAGACAAGATCACTCTGTATGCACCCTCACAATGCATACACACACACAAGCAGCCCATACAGCCAGGGGGGATGACTCCACATGCAGACAAGGCGGAAGGAATTGGTAGGAGAGCTCAGCACTCTTGCTTGCACTGGGAAGTGACTGGTGAGAGCTGGTGTTGTGGGGACTGAGAGGGGGAGATGGTCCCTTGCTGAATGGTCTCTCATGATAGTCTGAAACTCATGTCCCCTTCACAGGAGTCCACAGCACACAATGCCTTAGATCAGCTGTTGTTTTCCAATTTCTTTAGTGCCCACCTGCTGTCTGAACTAATTTAATAGCCTCCATAGCACTGGGGAGCCGGATGTTTGGATGTTCACAGAAGGAGAGAGGAGGCCAAGAGGCAACTCAAGTGAGGAAAGTTAGCACTGAGACAGTCACACATCCAGGCCTTAAACAAAATAAGCAAATGAATGGCAAGTCCTGGAGATCCTTATACCAACATCCGATTAGCAAACCTCCAGGGAAAATCTTCTGCTTGCTTTACTTTCCTGGAAAGGGGTCCATAGTGGGAATGAAAGAGTCGAGATTTGCAATCTGTGCTCTCATGGCCGGAGCTCTGTGTTCCTGACAGCTGGGGTACAGGAGAAGCATGTGTGTGTGTGTGTGTGTGTGTGTGTGCTGAACAAGCTCATGTTGGAGGCAAGAGTGGTGGCAGAGAAAGGGAATAAAAGATGCACTAGACATTACTAATTCTCCTTTCCAAGGCATTTTGCACCCCAGCACTGGTACTCTCTTCTACCCGTGGCCAGTGAAGGTATTTATCACTTGAATATCCTATATCTTTGGAGATATAGGAGAGTTTGGAGGAAATTTACGGTGGTTGGTCTAGCCATGAAAAATCCTCATGTTCATTACAATTGTCTTCATTGGGGTAAATGTGTATCATGCTTGGGCTTTTTTTCTATTTTCCTGTTGTTTTTCTAGTCTTTCAGTTAAATGTATGTTAAGCTTGGTTTTCCTACTGGAGTGTACTATGTCCCAATGAGTCCCTCTCGATTTCACTCCCACTGGAGGAACCTTAAACCTAGCTCCTCCGTGCACACATTTCTTCCTCCCTGCATCCCTTGGCAGTGGCTGTCTCTCCCTCTTCAGGCCACTTGCTCACCTTAGTTTTCTGATGCTGTCGTCTGTGCAGGCTTCATCTCGCCAACTAGACTGAGTTCACAGAAGGCAAAGACTATGTCCTGACTCACTCTCACTTCCCACAGCATCAGCATACTCCAGGACACTGAATCGATAGATGGTCCATGAAACCAATATAGTGAGCAGTTTCTGTTGTTCTTAGCCAGATACTTTTATTTCCAGGAAAGTCATAACAACTCTGTAGTGATGTGAAAATGCATTTCTGTGTCTGACACAGCACTTCGCCATCCCATGAGCCCTACCCATCCACCCACTTGTCCCAGTAAGAAACCAGACAGCAGCCTGAGGTCCCCTGGTTATTGTGCTAACAAACCACAATGGCTCAGTTGAAATAATTGTATTCTCATATAATTACATGCTCACCATGGACTGCTGGAGGCTGATAAATATTTCACATATTGCTTTTTTTTTTTTTTTTTTTTTGACAGAGTTAGACAGTGAGAGAGAGACAGAGAGAGAGAAAGGTCTTCCTTTTGTTGGTTCATTCCCCAGATGGCCTCCACAGCCAGCACTGCGCCGATCCAAAGTCAGGAGCTGGGTGCTTCTTCCTGGTCTCCCATGCGGGTGCAGAGGCCCAAGCACTTGGGCCATCCTCCACTGCCTTCCTGGACCACAGCAAAGAGTTGGACTGGAAGAGGAGCAGCCAGGACTAGAACCCGGCACCCATATGGGATGCCAGCACCGCAGGCAGAGGATTAACCAAGTGCGCCATGGCGCCGGCCCCCACATACCACTTCTAACTACAGCCCATGTGGCAGAATGAACTCAAAGACCCACCAAACTGCAAGGTGCTAGAAAATAGAGACCACATGGAATTTTAAGTAGCCACCATTTGCTTAAAATGTCTTCCATGTGTCTATTTGCCTCCATTCCCAGCTCCCCAAACCTGACCAGTCTTTCACCAATGCCAATCCACTCAACCTTTCCAAGATCCCTAAAATATGTCCATTCCTTCCCATTCCCAGACATTTAGTTCAAGCCCTCATCCCCACTGCCTTTACTACTGACCCCAAACTAAAGCTGCTTATTAGACACAATAATCTTCTAAAAATACAAACTTAATTATGTCAGTCCTTCCCCTAAAAGCATTTAACAGATCCTCATTAGCTACAGGCTACCTCTTTTATCATGAGCCCCAAACCCATTTCACATCAGCTTTACCTACCTGTTCAGTCTCATCTCCTCTTACTGTACAAGGGGACTTGGCCACATGTCCAGAGGAAGCTGAAATCCAGCCCATTCTGCTAGCCAAGCTTTAATCTCTGGTGGTTAAGGCTGCCTCGCCCTGAGCACACTTTTCTAACTCTAACAAATGTGCCCTATGTTCACCAAGCTGTATTCACCCACAGAGGGGCACACTTTGATAATACAACGACTTTGTATTATCAAACTACTAGCTGTTCTCCAGACTTAGCGTCCCAGTTTTCACCTCCAGACCTTGACACGCACTGCCTCTCTGCTACTAACGCCCACCCCACCACCCCGCTGGCATGATAAATATGTTCTAATCCCTGAGAACCCTTCTCAAATAACTCCTTAGGCAGTCCCAGTCAGAAGTAATTATTTTCTCCTGGTCTTAATCAGGATTCTCCAAAACAAGGCCTGAGACAAGGATTGGGTACAGGTGGTTTATTTGGAGGAGGGTCTCCAGGAAGCACAAGTAAAGAAAAGGTGAAAGTGAGATGATACAATGAGGAAAGCCAGTAAAATATGTCAACAGGTTACTATTGACAACAGCTGTGGCTCATTCCCACCAGGGAGCCTTTGGGAAACCGAGGAGAACACACTTACCAAGGAATGTGGAAACCAGAAGTATTTATGCTCTCTTGTTCCTCATTTCCTCACTGTTTCATTGTTTGATAGCTGCCCCCCCCTTTTTTTTTCTTTTTTGACAGGCAGAGTGGACAGTGAGAGAGAGAGACAGAGAAAAAGGTCTTCCTTTGCCGTTGGTTCACCCTCCAATGGCCGCCGCGTCCGGCGCGCTGCGGCCGGGGCACAGTGCTGATCCGATGGCAGGAGCCAGGTGCTTATCCTGGTCTCCCATGGGGTGCAGGGCCCAAGCACTTGGGCCATCCTCCACTGCACTCCCTGGCCACAGCAGAGAGCTGGCCTGGAAGAGGGGCAACCGGGCCAGAATCCGGCACCCCGACTGGGACTAGAATCTGGTGTGCCAGCACCGCAAGGCGGAGGATTAGCCTAGTGAGCCACGGCGCCAGCTGACAGCTGCTTTTAAAGGCAATTCGGATTCAGTACTCCTTGGCTGTCCTGAAGGGACTGAGCAAGCTCTGTGGTACTGGGAGGAGCTGCTAGGTAGAGGAAGAAGCACCTAAGGCTGCCCTTGGCTCTGCCCCCTGGGCTCTCAGTTCCCACTCTAATCCACCTTCTTTTCCCATCAGCAATGGCTAGAACCTACAGCTGAGCAATTTTCACAGCCCACTTCCTGCTTGTAGAGGTTAAAGACCCAGAGGCCTCTTTTCATGTTGAATTATCTCCTTTCGTTTCAAGTTAATACAATTCCTTTAAAAATATGTGTTTTTTATGTATCAAACTATATTCCACTCCATTGGGTAAGACCTTAAGGATCTTAAACGCTTGACTGTCACGCAAAGAATGTCTAAAAGGCACTCCACACAGGTTCTCAGTTTTCTTTGCAGTTCCTAACACTGGGTTTTACAGTAACACCCTTGACTTTATTTTTACCCAAAGACAATGTTTTATTACTGCTTTGAGCTTGATCTCTTTCCTGAGATTTCTTACTTTGAAGTCGTTTTGCCGGCTTTTACATGGGCCCTCTATATTTCCTCTAAGCTATACTCAAAAATGTAACACTTTTCTTTTTAAGTTCATCTCTATCTCTACTTTTTCATAGGTTGCTAAAAAAAAAAAACCAGCTGGCACTTTCCATATTATTCTTAGAAATCTCCTTAGCCAAATCTACCATTTAATTAGATATATTTTTGATTTTTCACATTACTGCATAAAACACTTACTGAACTTTGCACCACTGGGTACCATGGCTGCCTTCTCTTCAGTTTCCAATACCAACTTCCTGACTGTCCTTCAGGCCTTCTCAGCTGGTTGATTGGAGACCCTTCTGCCACAAACAAGCCTCTGCCACAAACAAGTGATGTGGAATGGGGGTTTATTACACAGCGTGGGTTCCATTGGAGAAACGAGGGGAGCAGAAGTCCAGCAGGGGCTATCAAGAAGATCCGAAGAAAATCAGGAGCCACGGATGGGCTCAGGTGGAGAAGTTGATGGGGCCGTTAGCTCCATCTGTGGCAGCAGGACCAGCAATAGAAAGGAAAGCTGCAAGTTCCGCGAGGAGAGGGCAAACTGGAATCTACAAGGATAAACCTGGACCCAGAGAACCAACCAACCCACACTTGTCTCTCATCGCCGCTCCTCGTCAACAGCTTCTCGCAATACAAAGATGACGTGCACCTGCTCAGCAGTCTGAAGGAAGGGGTCTAAAGGACCTGGAAGATCTCTGCAGGCTCAGCCGCTACCCACACAGCAAGGTGAGCAGCAGATCAGTGGTGACTGGAGGAACTGCGGCAGCTCCCAGCACCTCATCGTGACCTCCAGGGGAGAACTCCTGCCGCTTCAGTTCTGCCTTCCAAATCTCATGCAAATGCTCTAGTAGTCTACCCTAATTCAGAACCATCAAAGAAAGGGAACCTAGGAAACAGGATTCTCATGTAGCCAAGTCAACAGAGTGTAAAGCCATCCAAAGGCTCTATGTTCACAGGCCCTATCTTAGTGCATTGAATAAATATTAAATATGGATCTGCATTCTTGAGCCCAAAGCTTAACACATAGCATGTGCACCAATGATGACTATTCAACAGAAACTTCATTTACATGCCAGACTGACTGCTATGTCTCCTTCTCTGAGCATTTCCCCTTGTGTAAATTTATTTTGGTAAAGAGAGGAACCTTCTGTACCAACCTAATATTTGATTTATATCTCCCCCCAACCCCAGGACAGACTGTTTATTGCTTAGAACTAAAGTACTCTACATTCTACTTACTTCAGAAAACGACTGCATTAAAATCCATTTGAACTGAACAGTAAGAAGAGGGATGAGCTCACGGTGTTACCATTTTCAGTGGGGCCGAGTGAGAGGGCAGGATCCATGCTTGAACACTTTCTCCTCATTAACACTTCGGCTCCTGCACTCAGCCTCAGCCCCACCTTGCTGACCCAACTCAGACAAGAGGAACTGACTGATGAGGTGATAATGAGGAGAAAATGCCCTGCCCTGTTCATGGCCTGGCTGGTACAAAGCAAGACCAGAGGGATGAGACTGTACCTGGGTGCTTTAAAATCTTTCTTCATTTGGGAAGCAGCATGGTGAAAACTCATCATCGTGATGAAGAGAAGGAAGAAGAAGGGACTGCAGCAGCAGTGAGCACAGATAAGAGGGCAGATTAAAATGAGCTGACTTGGGCTCACTTAATAAACTCAAATCCTTTTTATAATGGGTATTTTAGAAAATCCGCGCTTGCTCTCTGCTGCTTAACAATACCAGCTGTGTGATCGTATTAGAAAGGTTGGAAAGAAGCAAGGGAAGAAGGAAGAGATGGAGGGAAAGAAGGCTAAGACAACAGACAGATCTTTTCATGCCCCACGCCATAAAGAGTCCCCAGTCTCGTGCTATTAATTCAAGCTGTATTCCAAACGGATTTTCTACAAACAAGTTCGTAATTGCTTTTTTTTTTTTTTTTTTTTTGACAGGCAGAGTGGATAGTGAGAGAGACAGAGAGAAAGGTCTTCCTTTTTTTGCCGTTGGTTCACCCTCCAATGGCCGCCACGGCTGGCACGCTGCAGCCAGCACACTGCGCTGATCCAAAGCCAGGAGCCAGGTGCTTCTCCTGGTCTCCCATGGGGTGCAGGGCCCAAGTACCTGGGCCATCCTCCACTGAACTCCCGGGCCATAGCAGAGAGCTGGCCTGGAAGAGGGGCAACCTGGACAGAATCCGGCGCCCCGACCGGGACTAGAACCCTGTGTGCCGGCGCCACTAGGTAGAGGATTAGCCTATTGAGCCACGGCGCCGGCCGTAATTGCTCTTTCAACAGCACTGATTTTCCAAAGTGAGCAGAATTCCAATGGCAGGCAGGTGCTTCCTTAGGCCCGAGACCCAGGATGAGAAGAAAAGCAACACCTGAACAAAACGCTTGCTCTTTACAACGCTGCTATCTCTAACAATATAGGGGTCTGATAGTGAAGAAGGGAGAATGAAATCTTGGTAGGCAAATCTATGTCTGCTACAGCCCTGAGTTAACAACTTCAGAAACAATTCTTGGTATCTTTTGGATGAAAGGGGTACATTCCACCTGTATACCTCGAGGCCATTTTCTGGTTCTATAGCACAATTGTCTATCCCAGTCCCCTTTTTAGCCTTTGCTTTCTCCCTTCCCACCGACCTCCATCCCCAACTTCCCCTCTTTGACTTCCAAGTTGTCTGTACTTTCACTGGATTTATCAGCAGAGGAGGCAGAAACACTACCATGACCCAATTCTTCACCATGTGCCTCATTTCCCTAGTGGGACCTGGTTCATGTGTTTGACCTTAGCACCAAGAGTGGCTTAGAACTTGAGTTTGAAGGTACAAATCTCAATGAAAAAAGTTACCAAATGTGAGATGAGCATGCAAAAATATGGAGTGTTCATGATTCCTACAAATGTCCACTGCACAGCACGACCTGGAGACAGGTTTCTTTGTTGTCACAACAGTAGGGGCTTGTTCAACATGAAGTTAGAGAAAAGGAAGTTATGGATCGGACTTGAATTTTTTCACTGCTTTTGGTTCCAATAGCCTGTTAAATTCAATGCTGCGTTCATTCTATAAAGTACATTGGCTTTCACTAGGTACAAAACTTTGTATTCAGTAATAAATCAGGGCATAAAGATGAGTCCATCCAGGTTAAAATAGGTTCTTGCCCTCAAGGAGTTCACAAAATCATTGACAATATAAGAAGCAAAGCAGTTCGAAGCAGCATCAGGATGTAAAATGAGACTGCCTAAGGGTGACTGAAAGAGTGCAGAGGAACATCCTTCAGATTTGTGAGGATGCGAAGAAATGGAGAAGCTTAGGCACTGGAAGAGCCAATAATGTAGGGACTGAATACACTGAGGACCAGAGCTGATGCAGAAAGCACAGGGACTCAGACCAACAGGCAGAGAATGGGCAACTCAGAAGGCACTGGGTAGGAGACAGGAGACCAGGATCTAGGCAACATGTGCAATTTTCAAGAGAAGAGGAGTTGCTCAGGCACAACAGTAGCAGCAGAGTCTGAAAGCAGTAGAGAAGAAAGAAAATGTGAACCCCAAATCTAGGATAAGGACATTGAGCCAAGGGGACAGGAGACTTCCCCGGGGAGAACAAGGGAAGTAGGTTTGGGAAGGGACATCTGATGATCTGGCGAGATGCAGAGACAAAGGAGCAATTGTGGAAAGAGGCAGATGCAAGGTATTTGCCCCAGGAAACAGGCGCTCAGCAGAGCTGCAGGAAGGGACACGACCCTGTCTTTGGTCTTTGTCGGCCTTCTTCAGCGACACTGCTCTCTCTTTTCTTTTTTCCTTTTCCTCCCAAGTCTGTCCCCCAGGGCCATGTCTGTACTTTTATTTTCCTTTTGCAATCCACACAGCTGGTATAATCTTTCAGAACTTGGCCTGAGAGAAGAAAGAGCATTTTTCCTATTAGCATGTACATCTCCCAGGCAAAGAACTAGAAATCACCTTCAGTATGCCAGAGTGATCCAACTTTGACACCTGCTTTCCCAAAGCACCAGTACTAACCCCAACTCTCTGCAAAAGCTATAACTTCAATAAAAAAAATGTGTGCACACATCAGACATCAGTATTGCCAGAACATACAAATACACACGTACTCTCTATTACCAATAAATGAAGTATCCAATGGTATCCTCTCTCCAGTTTCTCTAAGAAATTCCCTGGAGAAAGAGGAAGGGGGTGTCAATGTTCTCAGCACTCCAGATGCAATGTTTTGTGGTTGTCATGGATATAGTTCTGATCCACAGTGTACTGTGAACTTGTCATCTTTATCTCATTACTGAAACTCAACTGGGGGATGAGCGACATGGGAGTAATAGGAAAGGTTGGACACATTTTGGTTCCAGTCCTGCCTCTGAATTTTATTGGCTTTGTGTTGTTGGACAGTTACCTCTTCTGAGTCTGACTTTCCTCCCCTTTGAAATGGGCAGATTTTTGTGAGAATTAAAGAAATGTATGCAATACACCTAGTATGGCAGCAAACAAATGGTGACTTCTAGCAGCACTGCTCTTCTGGAGTTGTTATTATCATTATTACCTTTATTACCAAACCAAAGGGACCACTTAGCTCAGAGTTGAGAGCAGAAATAGTCCCTGACGCCCATGCTGTGAGTTCATGCCTAATAAATGGGAAAGGCACTTACTTGTCATTTGGATAATGGCAGCATTCAGATGCTGTGGTGCTCGATGATGAGCCTGCAAGTGGACAGCCGACAGCTCACGGAGGGGAAAGAGTCTCTTAGGAGCCCTGTGTGCAGCTTGGCCCCCTCACACCCCTTCTCATCCTCACTTGCTCCCCACTCCCTCTCTCCTTATCCAGACACGTGCTTCCTCATTATAGTCGGTTTGAGGGTGGACCATAACTCTCCCTCTCTTTGCAGAAAACAATGACTATGCTTTGCATCATCCTTGCTGAAAGTGAAACTGCATGGCTGGGAGAGTCCTATCATCATCGCACCCTCTGATGAAAAAGATTGTTTGCAGGAAGATGAAATTAAATTGCAAGCTCTACTGACTTCAACAACAGGTGCCATTTGGGCAAACCCAAAGGGGGCCACTGAATTGTCAAAAAGATTTAACTCTTCCTGATGCTGCAGCATTGGGTAAGAGCATACCACCAGTTCTGCTGCCAGAGACCTCACCACTGGAGAGCGCTTCTATTGGGTTTTTGCCCCGAATCCTTCTAAAAATATTCATCTTCAGGGACGGGAAACAAACAACTCAATCATGTCAGGGTGCCAGTGCATACTCTGGGTCCCAATCCTGACTGAATCCCTTATGGTCAAGTTTTCTCACCTGGAAAATGCAGAGATACTGCGAATTATAGCTCCTCCAAGGTTTCTGATAAGGCAAAATGAGAAAATAAAAGGAAGACATTTAGTACAGGACTTGGGACATTATAAGTGTTCTGCAGTTCTTATATCATTTAATAAATCTTTATTCATAATCCCTTATGGGCAAACACTCACACGCATGGGAAAATGCAGACTTCTGGAGCGCTCCCTTGAAGATCTCACATCAGTAGTTCTTGAGTTGGCCTGGGACCATGCGGTTTTTTTTAGAAAGATTTATTTTATTTATTTGAAAGAGTTATAGAAAGAGGTAGAGACAGAGAGAGAGCTCTTCCACCCTCTGGTTCACTTCCCAGATGGCCACAACAGCCGGAGCTGCACTGATCAGAAGCCAGGAGCCAGGAGCTTCTTCCGGGTCTCCCACGTGGATGCAGCAGCCCAAGGACTTGGACCATCTTCCACTGCTTTCTCAGGCCACAGCAGAGAGCTGAATCTGAAGTGGAACAGCCGGAACTAGAACCAGTGTCCATATGGGATGCTGGCTTTAACACAGTGCGTCACAGCGCCGGACCCAGAACAATGCACTTTTAACAAATGCTCCAAGCAGTTTATTGTGGTAGGTCAAATCAAAACCCAGGCCCTCTACAGTGTCTTTGCTGCAGATGCTAGGTTCTATCAGGTTCTAGTCTCCCAGTGATGTGCAGGGAAGTAATGAGAGCAAGAGGAGCTGAGGTTCGACACCGCTACCCTCCTCCCTGCCTTGCCTGATGCATCTGCATGTCCTGCAACGCAGCAGCATGGCCCAGGGCATGCTGGACCTCTGTGGTGATCCCTGCTGGCCCTTGTGACACCCTGGTCTGCATCATCCAAGCCTCTTCCCAGACACCACCCAGAGCTCCTTCCCATGCACTTTGC